TTATGCTAGTTATAATGAATGCTTAGAATACAAAATAATATGTGAGGGTAAACAACGAATTATGGTGTAGTGATAATATTACACTTTATCAGTTGCCATGCGTACACAATCCCGTCTCCTATAATACTAAGATGAATCATCTTTTTTTTAATTCATTTGCAAGGTCAGTAGGTGTTCATTCAGTGATAAAAATAGGAAGACAAATATGCGTCAAGTACCACAAGTTCCTCCCTTTTCTTTGATACGAAATCAACAGATGACGTATACCAACTTGATTAAATGATTAAGTACCGCTGTCCTGGAAATATTAATAGCACTTTACTATCTCGGGAAAACCATCTCGCGGATTTTCAGCGACCACGCTCTTGATGAGGTCCGTATCCGACGTTGCTTGACGGCCGGAGCCATCTTCATCTTTCAAATCAAAATTGCCAGTTCTAAATTTCTTAAACAAACCGTCGCATTACCACTCCCTTGAACGGTGCAAGTGTGATCTGTAGTGTCCTTTGGACCACTACCTTTTTTTTAAAGCAATGTAGTTTAACATGCCGCATATGCTTCTTTTGGCTATACACATCCATATTGAACGGCGTAGAAAATGGTTTTAAAAGAGAGACTTTGCAACCAACGAAAATACTTTGAAAGAGCTGTGAGACGACTGAAATCGATGCCATAAACGAACAGTAGATAAGCCTGGATGTTTGCAAACACCGACGGCTCGAAGTCATACATAGCGCGGCGGGGAACAAGCTTATGAAACACCCCTATTTATATGTCGCCATGAGCTACGCATGCCTTTGACACTTAAGCAATTTAGAAGAATTTGTCTTATTGAGGAATTCACATCTTTTGTTAAAAAAAGAAGTGATCCTATATCTCTTCATTGCTCTCATTAAATCAAGTCTTGAAATTAGTGCGAAGCAATTGTAGTCAAGTTTCACGGACGCATATGTGTAAAAATTTTCAATATTTTTCAAGGCATTTGTAGGTTAATCTTTCAGCATCTACAACGAGGATGTATTTTCTAATGCATCAGACTCAATATAAGGGCTTGTGTAGGCGTTTCCAAGCCGATAGATACCTTTTAGCATGATATTAATAAAACTTGTTTTTGCATTAGAGAAGACCAAGGAGAAAAAACATTATTCAGGAGATCTCCAATCACAAAAGAGTTTAAATCCCTTACTCGGAATATTTTTAAGTTCTCAAGTACTTGCTGCAATTTCACACATGCCTTACTGAGATGTTACAAATAAAACGAAAAAATTAGTATACAATTAAGCATCGATAGCAAATATATTTACAAGAAGGCATGTTATAAATGTTAATGTTTTCTTAACGGATAAGTAAGACCGAGATACTAACCGAACAATAACATAAAAACAAGTAAATAAATCAACATAAAACTGGTTATAAACCAAAGTCAGCACAGCAGGTTTCCTTCTAGTAGTTGTAGTTGCTTCATCATCATAACATTATTATTTCTTATGGCCCTGCATATGGGATAGTGTACAGGAACTGTATATAACATAACAATTAAAACAAAGTTGAAAGCAAAACAATTGCGCTTCGAAATAGAAATTCTCGTTTATTTTGTTTTAATTTTCTGTGTTATGAAAATATAAAGGAAAAGGAGAAGAAACACAAAGCATATATAATATAAAAGCAAACAACAATTGAAATGCGTGTAATATGTTCTTGATAAGTCGTTGAACCGCAAAAGAAAATTAGCAAAAGAAAAAACAAAGAACGGGTCGGGTACCGAGGTGTACCACAAGAAAATTGGTAGCAAAACAAAAAGAAGCCGAACACATACCATAGCAACATTGGAAATAAAAGTCCAATGTTATCAAAAGTACGCGAAAATAACGAAAGCTCACTTATCAACGAATAAAACGAAATCTTTTTTTTTTTTTGCAACTTACGATCCAAAGAATGAAATTTGTCTAAGCGCTGGTAAAGATAAGACAGCACAAACGTTCACTTCACCTTTTCTTTTTCTAGAAGGCAAATCAAAACAACAGTAAATGCCTTCTAATCTGCTGACAACGACCGAATTTCCTACTAAACACCGGACAATTAGGTTATACTAAAATAAATAAATTTGTCATCCTGTTCATTGCATTTAATATATTGTGTATTTCTGAAAACTTGAAATAGATTAGCAATGCAAAAATGTCTTTGTTCTTTTGCAAGATGGTATAACTTATACAATATGATATGAATACCAGCAATGTTTTGATTTCTCGATATGAAAATTTCGTAATGAGTGATTAAGAAAGATCGCGTTACAATATTCAATGTGACAAAAAAAACACAATGGATATGTAAGGAACCATCAACAAGACAGTGGTGAATAGATATTGCTACCCTATCTAAAGACGATAGTTTTACTGTTTTATGAACAATAACTGATGCAATTAACCTAATCATTAAAAGAAACACGTAAGAAAAGTGTAGTCGGCTGAAACCCAATCTTATATTCACACGACCACGCTAAGTAATCCTTGACGAATTTGGCCCATGCTCAGTACCGCGTTGCATGCAATTTCAACGTTTTTAACAATTTCAAAGTCGATATCCTTATTTTTGCTGTCAAAAGAATGTCAACAACATCGACCACGCAGGCTGACAGCCACGGCTAGGGGATTTTTTAGAATTTAAGTCGGTGAGCTGCGGTATAAATATTTTGTAGGGTCTCTGAAGCTTCCGCTTGGGCAATGCATTCATTATAACAAAGTGAATATACTTCCCTCCTCTCCCTACTAGACATGTTTCCTTCTAAGTGACACTTTTCAATTGATTATTACATAAATATTTTTTATTATTATAACGATGCTAAAGAAACGTGCCTTGTTTCGTAGAGAGCCTGAAAATCCCTGTCGGCTCTTTGGCACGGAAGCCAAATTCCTTTGGCACCCATGAATATTGTAAAGGAAATATCTTGCACCAGTTTGTAATAAGAGTTCAATTTTGCTAAAAAAAATAAAACAACAAAAATTTATTTAAGCCTATAAGGTAATTAACGTCTTTCCCCAGTAGATAACTTTAAACTTGAATACCACCTACTGAAGACATGCAGCGGTGAGTAAACACGAAAGCAAACTCGGTCGTAACCGAATCTTTGATACCCATCGCCGTTATCGTAAAAAGACAAAAAGTAAAGGAACTAAATTTTCATGCTCTATAATAAGGAGTGAGTGAGGCTAATTATTATTTTGAAAATAAAATATTTTGCTGTTTAGGCGGGTGAATGTTGTAGACGCTTCCTTTGCGTTCAAATTTTCGTACGTTTATCTGCTGCAGTTTATAAGCAATAAGTAAAAAACAATATTTTTATACCTTTTGAAAATCAGAGGGATCCAATTTCAATTCCAACCTTTGCACAAGAGCTTCCGTTGTTTCTTAAACACACTTAAATTGATTCAGGATTTGATGCTGATCAAAGATATATATACTTTGCGGAGTCTCTGAAGCTAAGGCAGAAACAATGGGACCTCTTGCACTCAGGTTCGTATTGAAACTGGACCCAAAGTGCCACGAAAAAAAAAGAGCACCTCTGATTCTTCAAAAGTAACAAAAAATTCATCATAAATACGCAGCAAATAAATCTACAAAAAATTTGAACGTATATTCTATGGGTGATGCTGTAGTACGCACCTATCCACTCTTGTAGTGTAATAAATTTTTTTTTTTTTTTGCAATACCTCTACAAAGCGCAGAAGCAAACTTAAAAAACCCCATAATATATATAAATTCTTGGCCAGTTCAAATTCCGATTGCACTTTAGTATGTCCATCTGTCCGTCTGCCCAACAGTGCAGCATCGGCGCAAACATACCCCGTTTGGGAAAAAAAATTTGCAAAAGGATTTGAAAATTATCCAAACTTTTCAAAGAACACGCCTACAACGCCCACATGTCTATATAACAAAAACTATTATCACCTATTTCCGCATTTTTTGCTTTTTGCTCTTAAAAAGCAGCACATACACTTTTTACACTTTTTTTCTAAAAATAGAAAAAACCAGCCGCGTCAATTCTGCGTATAGGTTCTTTTACTTTCTTTTAGTCATTTTTAGGATAACGGCGATGGGTATTAAAGATTCGGTCACCACCGAATATTAATTTTTATATATTTTAAATTGAAAAATTAGACTCGAAAACATAATATTTTTATTTACACATAGCAATAAATAACTGGTTTAAATTCCGTATCGTAAAAAACAAAACAATTTTGACAATCTCCTTACGAATCTAATACATTACCCTATTAGAGATTATTTTTGTTTTAAAACGTTCTCAATAAAAGTGTGAAATTCTATACGATTCGCTTTTTACCAATGGAACCGTTGGTCTCTCAGCAGAGATTTTTTTTACATAAAGCTTTCCATTTACTCAACTAAGTGTTTTTAAATATGTTAACTACTATTCGATCTTTTGAACTCCACCTTTTGATATCAATATTTAAGATTCTAGACAAGTGCCGGTCAAATGCAGAAAAATTTTGTATAAACCTCTCATAAAAACGAAGATGAGTTTTGACATTGATATTTGACGTCCCTTTACGAAAGAGGATTCGCAATTCTAGAAGAGTTTAAGTTTAGAAATTTCCCGGAGATTTGTTTTTACTTGAATTAATCTTTCGAAGAATTTGTTTCGCTGGCCTTTGACCTTTTTTGTAATGCTTTCAAGTTAATGTGATGGGTATACATAAGTTTCCCTATTTTCAATCCAAACTCCTTACTCTAGACTAAACTATTTTAAACTTCTTTACCTTTTCCAGCTATTCATAAAGACAAATCAAATATGATGCAATAATTAATAGGCACAAGCACAATTGGTGCAAATAAATAAATATTAGGCAGTTATATTTTCTTTTAGATACGTTATCAGGTGAGTCAAAAGTATACTACATATATATATATATACATATATATTCACATATATTAACATATATATGTTAATAATCAATATTTTTTTATCAAATACTTTAACTTACCGTCGTTTTTCTTTTGGTTTACCGCTCGGTGTTAGAGTAGCTTTAGGTAAGTTAATTCTATTATTGACATTATTGCTATTGTTGTTCTTGCTGTTGGATGCATTTGAAGATGATTGCACAGCTGTTTTGGTGTTATGGATTGGCGCAGCAGATTGCGCTGCCGTAGAATCAAAGTTTTCAGCGTTTGTTAATGTTATAGCAACCATCTTGATAAAAATTTGTCTGACGAATACAAATGCATTGAATTGAAATTGATAATATTTTGATATTTCAGGAATTATTTTCAAAAAATTCAACTTGACTTTTTTGTAAGGCCTTCCTTTAAATAAAATAAAATATGTGTTACTTATAATTTTACTCATACACGTACAAGCTTTTAATGCAATCTACTGATCTTTTCCGTTTCTTTCACTTGTATTCTTCATATCATAACATTTTTCAGCTTTTTACTTAATTTTGAAAATCGCGTTTGGTAGAAGAAACAATTATTTATTTCCCAGGTATAATTATTTATTTACTTTTAATATTATTTTATTGTATTTGCTCCTTTTTTGCCTTTTCAATCACTTTTATTACTTAATCGCATGAAAAAATCATGAAATAACACAACACTAACGAAAATTCATGCATATATATATATTGGAATAGAAAGACACGTTACACGTTAGGGATCGAGATCGCATGACTTGTCTCTCTGATGAGTTTGTTGCTTAGTAGTTGCTTTTTTATTACTTTTAAAAAAGAAAGCACAAATTCACATCACTGGCGGCTAATGGCAAGTGAACTTTCCGTTTTTTTTTTTTTCAATTTTTCTTACTGCACTAATTTAATTTCCTTTTTAATTTTATTTTCTAAATACATAGTATTTTTGCTGTTTTATTTTGTTTGGGATTTTCTTTTGTTGATTATACGGTTTACACGATACGAATACATCAAAAAGTTGTCATGCAAGTTTACGTTTAAGAGTCCTTGAAATAGGTTCAATTAATTACATTTTTTTTAAGATTAAATTTTAGATTTTATTGTTTTTTCATTATTTTGCACTGTTTCAATTATACATTGTTGGCTTATTTTTGATGTAAAATAACTCGAAATATTTCTAAATGATTATCAAGAGGAATTTATTACAATTAATTAATACACCACCATCCGCAAACACATACAATAGTTATGACAGGTGTTGCCAAGCTTACATATTGTCTAAAAATGCAAGAGTTCTTCATCCTTTCGTGGAAATTTGAGCCCAGTACAATAGGAATGAATGGTCAAAAAACCGAAGAGAAACTATTAAATACTGCAAAAATTGATTCAATTCATACTAATAACTGTAATTGTAAAAAATTTTAAATAAGTGAAACGAAAAATATTTTTGGCTTTGTGAAATTAATTCATTCCGTACATAACTAGATAATGTACGAACAAATCTGTTCCTTAGTGAATAATTTAAGTGCAATTCTACTTTACTTGGCTCTTTACGAATTTGACTATATCCTAATACCAAGAAATAAGAAGAACAAGCAACCTACACCAAGAATGAGAACAAGAACAAACAACCTACACCAAGAAAGAGAACAAGAAGAAGCATCCTACACCAACAAATTGAACAAGAACAAGCGTCCTACACCAAGAAATTTTATGTCCTAGCAATATCAAGAAAGATACACACACTAGTACAATAATAAATATAATAATCTAAAAAAATAATACTGGTTGGACAAAGCCACATCTATAAACTCTAAATTTGCTGGAATTTTCTGCCAGTATTGGATTATTAATATTCATTAAGTAAATAATAATTGTTCCTTTCAAATTAAAATATATAAATATAAATAAACACGGATACCAGGCCGTTGAACTTTGATCATGTAAGAGTTTAAAAATCCCCCTGAAGTAACCTAACAAGCACTTGTATAAGTTATATATGGAAAGAATTATCATTTTTTTTTTGAAAATAGGGTAAAATCGAATGCCACGCCTATAAAAATTGTATAAAACTATTGAGGAGACGTACAAGGGGAGATGAATGCATATTTTTGATACATTTATATAAAAAAGATTATATATTATATTTCAAGCACTTGTATAAGTTATATATGGAAAGAATTATCATTTTTTCTTTGAAAATAGGGTAAAATCGAATGCCACGCCTATAAAAATTGTATAAAACTAATGAGGAAACGTACAAACAAATAGCGATACGTTGTTCCCACGTAAGCGGTGTCATTTTTTTTTTTAATTTAACCGTTGCTCCAGTGAACCACCTTTCATTAATTGATAAACCAAACAAGGTTTCTCGCCTTTAATACTGAATCCGTACAAAGGTAATATGTTGTCGTGACGACACGCATTCAAATATTTTAACTCGTTAAGGCTTTGCTGTATTTGTATTTTAATATTTTCACGACCATCTGTACCGCGATAATGAATTTGCTTAATTGCCACTTCGGTGTGTTTCCAATAACCACGAAACACAGTACCAAAGCCACCTTTGCCTAAAATGAACTTTTCATCCCACTTATTCGTGGCGTCACAAAGCTCGAAATAATTAATTTCCAGAAGACAACTAGCATACTTTTGGACACTGGAGTCAGTGATCAATGATGAGCGTTCATTTTTATCTGCTTGTAACCGGGAACGACTCCGCCAATTGTTATTATTATTGTCTGATGTGTCGTTTGAGTTAATTCGCCAATGGATCTTAACTCCGGAGGTAGTACTATCCTGTTTTTGAGACATTTGATCATTATTGTTGCCAGCAGGATTCAAATTATTGGTCATAATTTTACTGAAAGCCGGCGCACTGGGCGGTATTTTCAATTGATGCTGGCGGCTGACCGACCAACTGTTTCAGAATACGCATAGCGGGGAAAAGTTTTAATCTATAATTTTATGAAAAAATAATAATTCAATTACAATGGTTTTTGAATTTTCTTGAATACCTATGCAAGAGATTAAAAAGTTCAGTAACTGAGTGATCGTATTTGTGGCCCCAAATTAATAATAACTCATTACTGGGAGATTTGCCTGATCCTAGCTGTTTAATTTTAATGTCCTTTAGAAACATGAAAAACAAGTCAATTATTATTGATCTCTTTATATAAACATTTTACTTTTTTTCTTACCTGAATTTCAGAAGGCCTTAAATGCATTTCCTCAGCTAATTGCATCCATACTTTGAGCTCATCCAAGTGTCCACAAAGATGCTTTCTGACTGCTAAAGTTATATCGTAATTCAATGCAAATTTTCTTATTGATATGACTCTTTTTTTTTATCGATAATGACCATGCAAAAAAATTACTCTCGTTTCTCTATAAAATCTTGGAATGAAAAACAGATATATTCTGAAGTAAAAGTTGTTACACTGCCTCGCTAAACACGCTTACGTTCATACAATTTTCCCCGAGCACATATAGGCCCGCCTAGGTCAAAATTCACTTTTATTATATAATATTAACAAAGCAATTAACAAAGAATATAATTGAAAATTTCATTTATTTAAATTAAACAAAAAAGAAAGATATAAAAGCCAAAATATTAGTTTTCTTTCAAACTACTGCTGGATTTCTGGGAATGACATCGGTTCCTCCCGGAGCTTCAGCGACGGCGGGGGCCTTGGGTGCACCAGAAACCTCAGGTACACCAGCGACTTTCTCTTGTTCTTTCTGAACCTCTCCTATTGCCCCCATATCTAAGCCACCTTCATCACCGTCATCTGCACCGCCGGTACTATAAAGTGTGGGATACTGTGTAAAACAATCCTGCATTGTGCGAAAAGCATCATAACAGTCAGATCCCTTGGGATCGGCTTCGCTATAATGGAAGCATGAAAATGCGTCACGGAATTCAACGCCACATGGTCCAGTGGCCATGCCACCCAAACATGGACAACTCCAATTGATTTCACCATCGTTCGTAATTAAACCCTGAGCCGGTTCTGGAGGTGGTAATTGTATAGTCGAAGGTTCTGCATGATCTTCCTTGGTAGCAAAGATTACCTTATCTTTGCCAAAGGTTTTACAATAACTGTACGATGACATTTCGATTAAGCTAAATTTCTATACACTCTTCCGAATCTCGGAGCACTTCAAAATGACAAGGAATGTCCTGATAGTGACCAATTAATGCAATTGATGCGCGTATCTGTTCATAAAATGTTTTGGGTACCTTAAAAACGCCTCTTTTTTGTGCTTTACTAAATTGAATTAACTCCAATTCACTGTAACCGCTAATTTCACCAAATAAATCGAGAATTGAGTTTTCAACGCAACCATGAAAGTAGGCGGGAGTTATAATAGCAGATTTTTCGTCTCGTAGATTCCTGTTGGAGTCGTTGGAAATAATGAAATAAAATATGCCGCTTACTTAAACTTCTGATAACTAGCTTACAATTGCACATCCAAGTAATGGAAAGCACTCATACTTTTAATTACCCATCAATGTTTTTCAATTAATATTTTTAATACTTCCTTTAAACACAGAAGGAAAAATTGAGAATGGAAATTTATGCAATTCCTACATTAAGTTATGTCAGATGTTGATAAGAGGTACGTTCAGTCAAGCAATTTTTTCTAAGACAATAATGTATTTTAATGGATTTTTTGCGATTAGGCAACATCTTTTTTACGATATAGTACAGAGCGGGAAAGGTATTAAATATTGATAGAATTATTTGAGTACGGAGGAAAATATATGGCTACGCATTGCAAGGATCAATCTTTCGATACGGTCGCAGACTGTGACGAGGACGAGCAAGTGGGTGGCCCGTTACTAATTAACAAATTGGAAACTAACGGCATTACTAATAATGACATACAACGACTTAAAAGTGCAGGCTATCACACCGTGGAATCTGTAGCTTTTAGCACACGAAAAGATTTGTTAAATATCAAAGGACTTGCGGATGCCAAAGTGGACAAATTAATAACACACGCGCAAAGTTTAGTGCCTATGGGTTTCAATACTGCTTCCCATGTATATCAGAGACGTTCCGAGATCATAATGCTAACGACTGGTTCAACAGAATTAGACAAGTTATTAGGTGGTGGCATAGAAACGGGTTCAATTACTGAAATATTTGGTGAATTCCGGTCAGGTAAAACTCAATTGTGTCATACATTAGCGGTCACCTGTCAACTGCCCATAAGTCAAAACGGTGCCGAAGGTAAATGTTTGTATATTGATACCGAAGGTACTTTTCGACCAGAACGGTTCGTGTCTATTGCGGATCGATTCCATTTGATTAAAGACGACGTTTTAGAAAATATAGCTTGCGCTCGAGCTTACAATTCTGATCATCAGACAGAATTACTTATGCAGGGAGCAGCAATGATGGCCGAATCCCGGTAAGTTCGGAAGTGTTTCGATTTCAACTTACTACATACATCTATTTAGATATGGCTTAATCGTTGTGGACAGTGCAACCGCTTTATACAGGACAGATTATGTTGGACGAAGTGAATTAGCTCCTCGTCAGGCGCATTTGGCAAGATTTATGCGCTTACTTCTCAGATTAGCGGACGAATTTGGCGTAGCTGTTGTTATCACCAATCAAGTAGTAGCTCAGGTTGATGGCGGCAGTATGTATCAGGCTGATGCCAAGAAGCCTATAGGCGGTAACATAATAGCTCATGCTTCAACAACTCGTTTATATTTGCGCAAAGGACGCGGTGACAATAGGATTTGCAAAATTTATGACTCTCCCTGCTTGCCCGAGTCTGAAGCAGTTTTTGCAATATTACCAGAAGGTACGGAATATATAGAATATATAATACATGTAGAAGGTATATACATTTTTAATTACATTTTTGATAAAAACTCCTTTGTTTTTACGGCCGATTTTAACATTTTTTTTATATTGTTTGTAATTATCATTTATTTATTATTTTTACATTCTTTTAGGTATAGGTGATGCTAAAGAAAAATAACCAATCTACCATACTAACATCCATCTAAGACCGCATCATGTTTTTCTATGCATTTGTTTGTTGTTTTTGTTTGATATGTTGATGTTTCAGACGATGCCATGTACACGTTGATCTAGAACTTATAACGTAAAGCTTCCTATCCTATAAATATGTTAAACAAAAAAAAGTTGAACAATAAGAACAATAAGTTAAACATATATAAGTAGGCAAATAAAAACTAAAAGAAAAAAAAAAACTAAAATAGGGAAAGAGCTAATACGCATCAAAATAAGTGCACGCCCATCGGCTATAACCGTAGAGCTTTATGAGCACATGAGATAAGCGTACATGTAAAATTTGGCAACAGATCGTTGAAAAATTAAACTCACTAGACGTTCTTCTTCGAGTGTATTATCCAATTCCGGTAACATTGAAGTTTATAGCAAAGGACGTGCAATGGGCTAAGTAGTTTATAGTTAGTATGCATTAACCTGTTTCAATTAACTAAAATTGGCGAGTTATGCGCGTTATTAGCAATTTCTTTGGGTGAGTTCTAGACCAGCTTTCACTTTTATTTAAAAAAAAGAGAACAACAGAAGTGAAATTTCGACTCTCTTCAACATTAAATTCTTTCTATTCTTGTGCAGAGCTAAATAGATGGCAGATGGGTTTATCTGTCGTATAGCTTGCGGTCTTTAAGTAAAGTTTTTGAAAATGGAAGCACTCTCAACATATATGCTGCACTGTAAGTGTTTTCGACGATCGATTTAATCCATTTTCGATATTAAAATTCCATATGAAACATACTTGAAACACAAATGTAAATATTTTCTTAATTACACAAGAGAACATTTAGAGTTTGATACCGATGAGCAAGTTTTTTTTTGGGTGTCGTCGAATATCTTTTTTTATTTTATAAGCTGAGTGTACCCGCATAGATGTTTCATTTTTTCTCAACGTCGCCCTTTTATGTCTATACGCAAAGCCACAGAGCGCCACACTTTACACGTTCCCTCCTAAGATAAAAGAAAGTCGAATAAAATATTGAAAAAACGGTTTTCACAGTTTCGAATTAAAAGATTTTTTATTTAATATATAATGTTAAGGTAAAAATATATATTTTTACGTGCTCATGGAAATGATCTAAAAACTAAAGAATTATAATCTAGTTGATTTAAGCAGTATAAGAAATTAAAACATACTTAAGAATTTAAATTTCCGTTATCTCATTATTTATGTTTTCTATGGGAGTATCTTCAATTTTTGGAGAGAAATTATCATTTTCTGCAACATTCTCCGAATTAGCAACTTCAGGTTTTTCTTCCTCGATTGGTTTCTCTTCCGTTTCATTCGATTTTAATGTGACCTGTTTTATATTGTTGTTAGCAATTAACGTTTTATATGTTTTTTCCGTCATAATTAAACAATTTTTTTCATTAATATGTTTTGTATTCTCCTTATAAGCTTCCACATGATCGCAAAATTCTTCCCAAAATCTTTGCTTATGTGTTGGACCGAAAATCCTTTTAAAATTGTTGTAAATCAATATGGCTTCATTGCGTATAATTTCGGCCTTAGCCTTAAAATCGGCCTCTTGTTCCGGTGTTAGATTCCAAGATTTTAAATTACCTATATAGCGCTGCAAACGTCGTATACCATCAACACAATCTGGATTGCGCAACAGCATCAGCCGATTTAATTGAAGTTCTTTGAATTGCTTAAGGATATCCAAGCAACGATCGACATCAGCTTGCCTTAGACCCAAACAATCTCTTAATTCTTGAGATAACTGTATAAAATCTCGTTCTACAAATAAAGCATCTTCCTGTTCGAGCATTAAAGCATTAAATCGATTAGCTTCATCTTGATCGATTTTTGATCGTGGAGGATTTAAAACCACACGATCTCTTATATCTTCCAATTTTATGGAGCCCATCTCTAACTGTTCTTTCAATTCTTGGGCTTCCTTGCGTGCTTGCTCCTCCCACTGCCGTTTTTCCGCTGCCGTTTCAAATAACTCAGGCTTTTCATAATCCAATTTAATGCCTATACATTTTGCGGGTGGTACAAAAGCTAACAACAGATTATTAATTACTTCAGTTTTATTACCCGATTTTACTGTAGGAGTGATTGTAGCCACAGGCTTAACACTACTGTTAGATTTTTTACCGCTTTTCGGTTTCACTTCAGAGGGAGCTATACCTAAAGTAATAACGAAATCTTAGTTATCGTCTTAGGATTTATGTTGCATTTTTAATTGTATTTACCTTCAGTTGGTACTTTTTTCTTTGACGGCGGTGCTTGATTAGCACTCGATTGTTCATCCAAATCATCCATATGACGTTTAAGTTTTATTTTACGACCGCTACGACTAACCAATTCACTATCAGGCGTCGCTATTTTGGATATGTCTGTTGCTGTGTCTTCTTTCTTTTTTAAATCTTTATTTCTAACGTCATCCGCTGACTTCTTGCCATCACTTTTTCCAACATCCTGTTCACTTTTCACCGTTCCTTGTACAGACTTATCTCCTTTTGATTCGGCACTTGTTTCGCCAAATTCACCAATTTTCTCAGAAATAAGTTGCGACTCGTCGCCTATTGTTGTATCTGCTGTAACCTGACTATCATCAAAGGTACTGTTTGCTTTTCCTTCTACCTGCGAATTATTTACAGCCGCCGAAGCGCCACGCAATGTAATTGGTGCAGAATCTTCGCCATTCAAAGCAGCTTCTATTTGTTGCATAGCTTCTCGAAAATTTGTACGTTTCATATTTTTTTCCGTGGCGAACTTCTCCTTGTTTTCTACATATTGGAACAAATCTTCAAGCTTTATGTTCGCCGTTTCTCCGGTGCCATAAAAGTATACATTATACTTCTTATTGTTATACTTTGTGATTTTCGCTGGCCAAGCTGGATAGCCTTTTACTTTCGCAAAAACCAAGTCACCGATATTAAACTGTTTTCTTTCTTTGCCCATGTTTGAATATGTAAGTTCTTCGATAATATGTAAATTCTCTGATAATCAATATTAATAAGCTTTTTCTCTGCTAAAATGGAAAATTTCGTACAGAAACTAGTAATGCGGTTTTGACATAAACGCGTAGAGTTGCCAAATCCGTGTGCAACTCTTTTTCTGAATAATCTACTATGGTTTTTGACGTTGTTATGTTTCTTCAGCATCCGAAACATCATACAAATTTATAATCATTGACATATATGTTATTATGTATAACCATTATCCTTCATGTAATTACTCTTGTATAGAAAAGATTAAAAAACAATGTTAATTTTTGGGACTTAATTGTATTAAATTTAAAAAACCTGTAATACCCATATTTATATGCTCTATCAAAAAGAGCATCTGTGTTGTCTTTCCAAAAATAAATAAATCTAGAAATGTTAAAGATGTTTAAAAATCTTTTGCTTTGATCAAACTTTTTGTATTGAGTAAAAAATTAAACGAAAATTCTATCAATCTATTATTATTATTATTATTTTAATTTTAGACTAATGAATTGAATTCTTAGACTAAAAAAAAGACATTGAGCACTAGCAACACAGGCTATCGTGTTGCATTTTATATATATAAAAAACAAATAATTTTTTAATTTCGAGTTTCCTTTTATGGCTATCATGAAACCATCTGGCTTTTAGTCATTCGTTACAAGGAAATAAAATGTTGTGATCTTCTTTTTTTAATATGAATAATTCAAATTAAAATTACTATCTTTTCATAAATGATATTAATCAAAACACCTATCTACGCTCTATATCGTATATATCATAATTAAAATTGAAATCTGGCAGCACTGTAATCTTCCCTCCACAATTGTATATTTTCAAAAAACGTCATATTATTAAAAAATAAAGCAGAAAGTTAATATAATAAAATTATTTGTAGTGTGTTTAAAATGGATAAAAAGAGACATCGAAGCTCTGTAAGAGAGATTATAACCAGATAACTTAATCAATATATGGATAATAATATGTATACATTTTAGTTACGAAAACCAATTTTACCGAGGGTTGAAGATTCCACTGCGACTAAGCGTCGGATAAGTTTTAGTGGAAAGAATTTCGTAAGGTAGAGAATAGGCCTGTACGACTACAATATAAAGAAAGATTTAGTTTTCTATGTCTATATCATTCTAGAGAATTCTGTCAAGAAGAGATAACAAAAACTTACGAAGATTCTTATGAAATATCTGATCGTGCCAATGTTGATGAAACACCTAATCTTTGCGTTGCAAAGTCACCTATATCAACGTCGTCAACCACACTGCACACAATTTCAAATGAAGAGGACAAAGAAAATATATTAAATAAATTTCAAATTCAATCATTTTCAAATGAAGAGGACAAGGAAAATATATTCAATAAATCGAAGGTATACGAAACGGTCAATACGTACGAGAAATTGCCTAATTACGTGGAGGATTCCAGTTGTGGTTCTTCTTGTCAAAGCAGTGCATTAAATATTGAAAATAGTGTTGAAATCACTTTGTTTGAAAAGGAAAGGCGTCCACGTTCTTGTTCTAGTAAAGCTAAAGTCGCGGACTTTGACGAAAGCTATATGGATTTATTCAATAGCTTTTCCCTCGATGAAAATGACAAAAAAGCTTTAGAATTAGGTCGTGCAAGAACTTCAAGCAAGCGCTTGGTCAATGATTCCATGGACTCACCTTTAGAACGGAAAAAGGAAAAATCTAAACGTACTGAGGTAATAAGTGCGCAAGTTAAAAATTCCGAAAAAATGCTTACTCAGCAGACGGAAATACAAGCAGATGAATCGTTAGTTAAAAAGTGCAAAGAACAACGTCAACGAGATCTAAAAATGCTCAGTGACACTACCCAGAAATCAGAAACACTTGCTCAAGTCCCTGACTATAATATCCCTCGCACCTCCAGGGTGACTGTACACAAAATTTACGCTCCATTAACAAAAAGCATTTTTCAAAATTGTAGAAAGAGAGAGGTGCGACAGGAGGGGTCGAAGCTTCCGCCGTTCAAAACCTCTGGACAAAATACTGTTTCCCTACATTCAACAGTTACAACACGTGAAAATAATCAGATCGCAGTTTGTAACTCTACGGATATGAGTGTGGAAGGTGATTTATCTCCCCTGTGTCCACCTGAGCTTAAAGTGAGCAATTTGCAGCAATTACATGATCAGATCGTGAGCGGTAAAATACGGGTATTTTCCGAAGCCAAGAAACCGCCCAATATTGACACTAAAGCAAAATTTTCTTTATTCCCTACACGCGGAAAAAATGAAAAAGAACCCAGAAAGCAAAGTACTTGCCATTTTGAAGACGACCAAGGCCGAATAGTTCGCGATACCACCCCAATGGAAGGGACAGATAAAAAATGTAAGAAAAATAAATACCGTTATTCAGAGGCCGATGCCGATGATATGATGTTGGATAACACTAGCTTTTTGACTCGAGCCAAACTAAGTGACGAGACCTCCTCCCGCAATAGTTCCAAAAGAGATGTGACACAAACGAATGATAACGATACAAGCTGGCCGGAAAGATGGATGAAAACTGACCAGCGTGAAAAAGAGTAAGTTGTTGCTAAGAAATCAAAAATAAGTTGCGGCTTAAATAATTCTTTTTTCTACTTAAGGCCCAATACGAAATCGCTACATATGTTTCAAAATTCTGGTTCATTCTTTAGTGAAGTCTTACCAGAGGAGAAAAAAAGATTAGATTTTAGCAGCGCAGTCGAAATTCATAAAGAGAAACACCAATTTAAAGTAGCTGACTCAAGGGGATCTGTTAATTTATGGACGAATATGCTCGAACAAGTTGCGGACCATAATTCCGAAATGATCAAAAAAAACCCAAGCCATACTTTATTTCTCAATCAAGACTTGGATGAGACTAAAATCGAAGAAACTACTAATAGTGCAGCAATGACAGAGAGAGAGGTGAATGAGTCTAAAATCGACGAAATTACTAATAACTCACCGATAAAGGAGATAAACACTACACATGGTCCTCAGGATATCACAGCAATTGTCGGCGATGTAGTCAATTTATCGGTTACCTCGGATGGTAGAAGTTGCCTGAATAGCCAGGAAATATGCAAAACGATTTTAATACCTGAAAGTATTGAAAAAGATTACGGAAAAGAGCAAAAACTATTGCAGTTTGAAGATACTATGTGTAAGTCGAAAGATAAAGATGTACGTAGACACACTCAGATCTTTCAAGACGATCTTAAAGAAGATCTTGATATAAGAAAAGAAAACCTTCAGTACGAAATATCTGTGGGACATACCCAAACAATGAAAAACTCGAGGAAAACACAATACTTTTATTCGGATATAATAGAAGATACCTTCGTAATAACAGACGAACACCGTGAACAACGTGAATCACTCGTCAAAACTGATGCGACGATAAAGTCGTCGGAAGAAACGCCTTTTCCCCACGAAGATATTGAGGAGAATATCGCAGATATTCGGCGAGATGAATTGACAAAGGAACAAACATTACTCAAAGCTCTGTCCATTTTTGAAGGTAATGAAACATATACCTGCAAGAACCACGCAGGACATATTAGCGAAAAGGAAGACACCTTTCAATATGAAAAACTTTGCAAGGAAAATCGTGAGATTAGAGAAACTCAAGTTTTCGAAGACACTATTGAAGAAGATGAGGAAGAAAGAGTAAAACCTCATCAACGCGAAACGGTTTATAACAAAACTGGAAAAAATTTCAAGGCTACAGAAACTCAACGTTTTCCGCAAAGTACTGAAAATCTTGTATCGTTTGAAAGTATTCATGTTTTGAACTTGCGTCAGGAATTAATTCGCAGCGAAAATGTAAGTGAAGACGAACAAATGATTGAAGAAAACGCTGAGGAGCCTGCACGTACTAAGTTAACTTCTAAAGAGATCAGCAATATACCCACAAAAAATAGCTCTATTAAACATACAAGTAATCTCACTTTTTATTGTAACGATGATATAGAAGAGGAAGAAATGCCAAACGAAAAATCTTTTAAAGAAAACAGAACAAAAGACATCCACAAGAATGAAGAAGAGGGACATACACTTTTCAATCAAAGCTTAGAAGAATTTATAAGTAGAACTCAATTTGATGAGAAAATAATGACAACAACAACAATAAATCAGCAGTCAAGTATCTTAGGTAAGAATGCACCAATGCTAAGCAAATTATTACCTTCAGAGACAAACGGAAGTGAGAAAGCGCAAACCAATAGCAATCAATACGGGACATTGAAAAATTTTGATTATATTTCTTATGTAAGGCCACATGCAATAAGACCAACGAAGCATAAAAGAAATACTATCTATAATGAAGAAGAAATGGTATTAGACACGGATATAGGAATTAGCTCATTTACTCCAAGACAGAGTTACCTTCATAATGCTCATTTGGAAGAAAAAGAAAATGAACAGATTGTACCGGAATACCACCAAAGTGAAATTGAAGAAATTGCCGACACATGCATAAAGAATCGAATAATAACGGTTCATTCATCCACAGAAAAAAATGAAGATTCAATTTCAAAGATCAATACTTCTACTGACAAAACAATAAACGCCGCCAGTTTAATGATGGCAGATAATCGACTAAACGAAACTTTTGTAACTCCTTCCAGAAACTCAGTAAATCAACAACGTTTACGTAAGACATATGAGATCACTCCTAGATTATCACTGATTGAGTTCGAAGCTCGCGAAAGAGAAGCGAAATTTGAAAAACGCTATGCACCTCCCAAGTTACAGTTACAATTTTCGAAGCGTTTGCATTCTCATTTGACCCCGAACGTACCGCATAGCAAGAGACCATTGACACTTATCGAAGAAGATTGTCAACTCGAAGAAGTTTATCCTAAAGAAACTGAACCAAGTAAATTATCAAAGCCAATAGAAATTGAGCCGGATTCTGAAATGTTCGCTAAAGAATCCGTAGAAGAAATTTCGGGGATTGTTCGACTCAATGAAACACAAGTAACCGGAGTTCGATTCAACCGGTCAAACTTACCCGAAGATACGCAGTTAAAAAAGTTGCAAACTTCAGTGCTATGCGCTTCCGAAAAGAAAGACTATCAGAGCACATCAACGATGGAGATTATCGATAATTCGATGAATATAGAAGATTCCACGTTAAGTCCACCTATAGTGCGTAATGCCGAACGTACGCTTACAGAAGCTAGTAGCAGTACTTCTCCTCGAAAGTATACCTCGAGGCAATTGATCTTTGAAGGCAATCCTATTATCATAACCGATGATTCGACACATCTTCAAAATGAGGAAACTAACCGGAGCAACGGTTCGCTTAAGAATAGCAATACCCTTAAGAATGTCTGTCCAGGGAGTTTGATTGATAACATTGAAGAAGTCCATATAAATTTAGTTGACACCTTAGCAGATGATGAGGAAAGTGAAGTAGAAACTGCAAGGGGTAATGGTGACTTTACCACTCAACCACAACCACAACCACAGTTCTCGGAGCTACCAATAACGGGTAATAATGATACGTTTTTATGTCCTAAGTGTAAATGTTGTGAAGACAAACCTTCAAATGAAAGTAATTTAAATCTGCACGAATCTTCTTTGGATTGTTCTTTACCTTCTCAACCGTCATTAAATTTTGATCGTTTGAGGCGTTTACGGAAACTTCCAACCTTAGCTGACGTGGGATATTTATGGCAACGCGTTAGTTTAGACAATACTATGGCTAATCTAGCAGCTGAGGATTTAAACGATACACTCGTGGGTACAATAAATGAGAACGAAACGAGTAATAAGTACAACATTAGTGAAGTTAGAAAACGTTACAACATGAAGAAGAAAAAGTAATGTAAACTTTTTTTTTCAAATGATTTGAATGAAAATTAATTAATTAATTTATAGATTGAAAGATGCAATGTTGATAGAATCTCGAAGTAAATTACCAGATGGAACGGTATCGGTAATTGAACGCTTGCGTCAAAAACTCAGGTAAAATTTTTAAAAAACAATTTCGCAATTTCGATATTACTTCATTGGATTTTTGCTCCAGTTTGTTAAATGCGAGCAGTCGACTAACACTAAAAAAGGTTGATTTATACATTTACTTTCTATTTAACCAGCTGAAGGTATCGGTCCTAGGTTAAATTTTGATTGCCAATCAATGCAAAATCCACGCCACACATTAGAATTTCAAATATATTTCACTAAATATGATTGTGATTAGTAGTTAACCTTCTTGGGATGCGTTGTTTCTTTCTATCTGGCCTTGTGCAAGATTTATACTCTTGCTATCTACAATCTTTCGATTATAGTGGACGTGTTTTTAAGTTGATCGTGACCATCCTTACTCTAAGCTTTAGAAAATTTACTGCAGGCCTCAATTTTAAGCTTAAGTATAGTTTTTGCTTTCTCTAGATATGCAGAAGGCAACGCGACCATTTTAAATGGACACATGTTAATAATATTAAATCAAGTCAGAATATTATCTGCTGAATAAAAATTTTAAGAAGCATAATTCCATTATAATATTATTCGTGCCTCGAATCAACTTAATTAATTAGTGTCGTATTGTTTTTTGTTTAGAGATAAATTGTCTAACAATTTTTTAAGAATATTTGTTGTTGTGAATTTTCTAGTTGTGCATTGCTATCTGTAAAATCATTTATCAATAAATATTAATTTCCATATTTAGCAATACAAGACATAGCTGGATATTTGATGATCAAATGCAATATAGATGTAAATTATTATTCACTCATCGTTTGTTGTTAACTTCTTCATTGTTAATTACCTATGAACGAACGGGCATCTTAAGCAGCAAGATTGCTATAAAAACTATAGAAATAACAAAGCGGTTGCCAGAGAGTAAGTACGTTTTGAGCATAGATATAACAACAATGATAGACGATAAATCCGATCTTTTAATAGTGCGCTTGAAACCGATCGATTATGTATTAGATTACGAATTGAAATTGCAACTGCCTTTAAATTTGATAACATTATGTAAAAGCAGCGATGAACTTGGCATTTATGACATGTTACAGATTCTCGATAAAAAGTATACGGAAACTTTCCAATTGGGCCAAGAATTACAGCGCATTCTCGTTCAGCGTCAAGCAACAATTGCCAGGTATGTAATAAACGAAAGATCTCTCTATAGTATTAAGTTAATTTTATTGATTATTGATTGATTATTATTTTCATTTTCATTTTTAATTTTTTTCTCTCACCTTAGAGATCCCTTAGGCATTCGATGTTTTATAAAGAAAAATATACGCAACGTTGTTGCACAACCCGGCAGTTATGACCGTGTCGATTGCACTGAGATTCAAATTGATATTTACAATATAAGTCAAATAAGTTTTAAGAACATATTTCAACCAGCATTATTTAATTTTCATGAGGAAGTGCATCTGCTACCAGTTGGTTTAACGTTTCTAAAAGATTTTCTCCACGATCCTTTAAAGTATTTGAAGAATTTAACGTAAATTCGATTAAAACATAGCTTAGTAATAAAGCTCATAACTTTAACAATTATTGATTTTGCTTTGATTGTATAAAATTAAAAAAAAAAAACAGAAAAAGAATTCAAATTTTCTTGAAAATTATTATATTTATTATATATAAATTTTGTTTGTTAAAAAATCGTAAAGAAAATCAAATAAATTTATAGTTGCAATTTTTTCATTCTTATAATCGATTAATTTGATTTTTTACTTCATGTATATATTATTTATATTTGTTGTTTCACACGCACATCTGGTTTGTAAGCTATTATGAGAAATTCATGTTATATTAGTAAGAAAGTGAGGAAGTTTATCGGCTTCTATGGTTACTAGTGGAGTTACGTGGTAAGTTATTTTGGTAGTTTGATTGGTAATATGTTATCCATTATTAGTGCAGAAAATTGTCTCGAAAATAATTGAATCAATTATTTTCTTTTCAATTTTTTTTTTCGTATGCATTTACATATATTTGAAAATGTAAATGTAGGCGGTGTCTTGTAAACGAGTTTATGAAGAGATCAAAACAAATTTGAAAGAACGAAAGAAAAAATAACTTGTTAACCGTGAATATGAACAAAAAATTCAATTCGCCCAGTTCATACTCGTCCTCGGAGACAAGTGAAACGCAAAGCGTTGAAGAAAATCAAGTGAACGATAGTAATACTACACAATCATCCCAAAATTTCGGCACAAGTAGGTAAGTTGAGGAAAGTAAAGAATAGATATTTTTTTTTATTATTTGTTTTTTTTCGGATAAGAAAACATTTAGGCGTTTTTATATCATAAGATGATATAAAGTAAGTTAGGTTAAGTTGAACTTGCATGCGATTTTACTAAGGATCACACAAAGTCACTTAGCCCTACCTCGTGTCTAACATCGTATAGAGTTGCGATAAAATACACATCAGCTGCTCGTGTATTTGTAACCACGACACGGATCACGACCACATCATAACAATCTGAAAGTAAAAAAAGAAAGGTCCATCAAGTAACCGTAAACGTGAGTTTCCTTGGTGGATCGCATTTGATGTGATAGTTCACGTCAACCCCAGTGAATTCAAGGATTTTTTCACACCTATGACACCAGTTGAAGAGACATCTTTCATCATAGCAATCAGCAATGTTGCATTATTGTAGCTTTATGGCGTAGCAGGAACCGAGAAAATGTCCGTCTCAGTTGGTGTAATCGACATCGGCTGTCAATCTTTATAGGAATCATTTCAATGAAAGTACAGCCCGGGCAGGATTAGGACTTTTTTAATTTAAACCTTGCTGAGATATTGTTGTGACGGTTTTCAACGAAAACATTTTTTATATCGTCAAGGCAAAAGCCTCTTCAATAGGTTAACGGAATCTTTAGACCGTATCTAGCCACGTAAGTTGGTTTGCTTGGCTAGTTATCTACACTGATGCGCTGCTACACGTCCAAGAATTGTACAAAACTGCTAATAAGCCAGTCGGAAAATAACTGACTGACGATGAACTGTCCGTTTCGCAAAAGTTACATAAGCGCAGTAATGACAATGAGTTCACAAGATTTTAGTTCTTTTTTCAAATTTCGTTTAACCTATTTACTTATTTAGAAACTAAGTTGATTTGGGCATAAATTGCAAAATCTAGAACTTTGCTATTCGCTCAGTACGTCGATTGGCAGTCGCTTTATGAGCGTTGTTTTTTGTTTCCAGCTAAGGGTTGTTACTATTTGAATTTTTAAACTCTAGAATACCGAAAAGTTGGAAACGTATGAAAGATCCAAACAATGATAAAGACGCTGAATCAAAACGGCCACCATGGCGGGCTGTAAGCATTTCGACTTTGCCGAAACCCGATAAGAATGCTATTTTGAGAGCGAAACTTTTAGACGCCTCCAGGTATGTATACATATGTTGCTATGAATATGTATATTCAATTAATTTACTAAAGATTTTGCCTAAAGGCGTTTGAGAGCTAGTAAGGTCGCAGTAGGTGTACAAACCGACACCATACCAACGATAATTATGAAAGATATTGGCATAGGAGCGCAAACTGATTTAATATTATATAAAGAAGTTGGTTTATTGACCGATGGTTTTTATTCAAAACGACGTGACGGTACGGAGGAATGTGAGTATTAGATATAAAATATATAATTAAGTTCAGGTGAAAATTAATTTAAAGTACTTTCTCTTCAGTTATTTTAACATATTCCGTTTCGCTAATGACGGACTGCGAAGAAACATCGAACGTTAGCACTCAAACTCTTTTACCAAAGGTACCGGGTGATGCTTTTCTTGAAGCTTATTTAACTAATCAGACGGGCAATAAGTTGCTTTTAAATCAATGTTCGAATGGGGAAAAGAAATTGTTACAGCAATTGGAAAAACTTCGTGAGACCCGTGAAAGAACTTTTGGATTAACTGAAGAAATTAATCCTAAAGGTGAACAAAAAAATGCTCGTTCAACTTTATTGCCACCAAAATCCACTAACTTGTATTGGCGTTTCGAAGATGATATCGATGAAAAAGGCAAATTCAGATCTTATACGATCAATGCGAATAAACCCTGGAATAGTTTTGTACCTTTTCCTTTGAATAAATATCAACGTATCGATTGGGATCTGTTGCTTGTTGCGATTGATGAATTGATACGTGAGTCGAATCATTTGGCCGATATGGTTGAAGAATTAATGCAACGTCATCGGAAACGTCGAGATTTAGATCTATTTGGTCCTTTGGTAACTAATGTAACAATTGATGAATTCAAGCCTATAGAGCATAAAATGCCCTCCGACTATTGGTTACCGATCATCGACGAACAGGAAAAGCAATTAGACGACTTGAAAAGTTTTCGACCAGCAAATATAGCCGCTTTGGAGAAATATATGGAGGAGAGCAAAATAATGAAATAATTTTAATATATAATAAGTGGATATATTTGCGTTCGTGTTTGTGTGTGTGTGTGTGTGTGTGTATGTGTGGGTGTGTAAACATCAAGTTAGCAAGAAGCAAATTCACATGTTATCATAATTAAAGTGAGGCTTTTGAATTAACCGACGATAAAGCCGAAGATTTCTTAGGTAATAATTTTATAAGCATTTGTGTTAGTTTTTTACTATCCAATGGACAGGTGACATATAATTGATCACACGGTTTCGAATTCACATTTTTACCCTGTTCCAAAGCTTCCTTAATTGCTGTCCCATCTAGCAGGTAGTCAATTAGGGAATTTCTACAATGAATGAAGAAAAGATAAAACAAAAAATTTGAATTGTAATTATTGATAAGCGAGCAAAGGAATAAAAGGAAATATTATTATTATCATGATTGTAATTAATTTAATTAGCCAGAGAAACAAAATCTAAGGCTAAAGGTCTGAAGCATTAGCATTCAAGGGTATCTGGCTTTATCAAGAACTCAATCGCACTTGAGGTTTGAATCCACCATCATGGAGTTGTTAATCGAGATCTCCTGTCCCTTCATCCATTCGGTTGGATAAAAAGAGATATCTGGAGATCTGTACAAGGTATATGCAAAATAGACCTTAATCCTTTTCTGTCAATAGTCAGCACAAAAAAGAATTTTCCATAGTTGGGTCTTCGAGCTGCAAGTCGGGAAAGACTCCGGATATACCAAAACAACGATTTCACAATTTTTGCCACTGTTGACTCGCTTAGTCAAGGAGTATCTGCTTTCGCGATGGTTAAGTGCGCCTCGGAGCTGCTTAGAAAATTTAAAATTCCGGAAAAGCTTTCTTCAACTTTTATTGAACTTGTAGCCATCAAACAGGCTGTTCATCTAGCCATTTGAACAGGTATGAAAAGATTTGAGATTTTTTCTGACATTAGATCGGCCCAGACCGTCGATCCTCGCAATATGTATGTATTTGAACTCCATAATACACTAAGTATTTCTTATATAGATGCATGTCATCTGGTCTGGATTCCAAGTCATTGTAGCTTTTTTTTTTAGTGGAAGCGTTGATCTTTATGCTCGTGAAGCTCGGCTCAGTTTGGCAGTATGGGCAAACCTTCAGATACTGAAAGTAATTGCAGATGACATAAGCTTTTAAATCGCTGTCATGCCCCTAGGAGTGTTCAGAGTTCAGAACTATTAAAGTAATTGTATGGTGAAGGCTTCGCAGATTAGAGATTAGACGAAAGTTTCTTCAAAATTCACTCTTAAATCTTAAACATTTCCATTTCTATTGTAATGCCGGTGGGGTCCACCAATTTTAATCAAATTTCCATGAAATTTTAATTGATTTAACAGCGTTTTCTGCTTCTGTAGATGATGATTGCAATTTTTCAATTTTTAATATTTCTTGGGAAAGTTCCCCGAAAAGTTATATTATTTTTTTGAAATAAGACAAAAAAAAAAATCAGCAAGTCATTAGAAACAACGTATAGGACAACGGCGAGCTGAAAAATTCGTCAAATCGTCTAGCGTATTACATAAGCTTTTGGAATCACGAAGGAGCGACATATGTCACGTAACTGACTTTTACACAAATCATAACTACCTTAGGTACCACCTGAAAAATATTGGTATGTCCCATATCGATTTATGCAGATTCCGTGAGAGGGCGAAGTAAACATTCTATCATATGCTGTGCGTATGCGTGGCCATCTGCAGCATCGGAGATCAAGTGTTTGGCGAACACTTTATAACGCTAAAGATCGTCTGACGCTGCGAATCTAAAAAAATGATGGAATATATAACGATCCTAAAGCTTCAAGGGCAAAAGACATGAGCTAATAGATATTTGAGGTCGCCGCACGAATTGCTCACGACATTATTTTACATTACATCAATACGTGCATTAGAGCTTGGAGCAAGTCATATAATACAACTATGGGCTTTTAAAACTGACTGATTGAATGTCATTTGAAATTTGATCCTACGTTGGATTTTTTCGACGTTTTTTTTGCAAAATCCTTTCTATGCCTTGAAAAGTCAAAGAACTCTTAAGGCGAAAATGAATACCGTGTTCAGCTGCAAATTCGATGCATTCGATGATAGCTTGTAAAAGCTCCCATTAAAAGTCGAAGTGAAAAGAAAGCAATAAACTTTTTTTTTTCACCAAACAATTTGTAAAGAAAATTTAAAAATAGTCTAACATTCAACTTGATTCAATGACTCAATAAATAGGTATTTGTGTGTGCACGTATGTATGTATGTATGTATTATTTCCTATAAAAATGAAAATAGAAGAAAAAACTAGAAAAGAGCAAATTTACTCACTTCGATAGCATGTGAATGAATTCATCCAATTGATCAGATGCTCCCGTTTTCATATTGTATTCAGTTGAACGTACGTAAGTACATATAGCACGTTGCATACATGTTGTCGAATCGATATTGTTTTGCCCCAAAATATCATCAATTTTTGTCATTAAACTACTTAGAGAAGATAGATCATTGTCCGTTTCACCTATAAAGTGAAAAATGCGTTTTTTTTTTATCATATCGACGGAAATCGATAGAAATGAAGCGTTTTAAATATATAAATACTTCTGCCGTAGCCGGTATAACCACCATGTAAAGCACTTAATAATTTCGGTATAATAATAATGACGCCAAGACCCACCAAAGTACCCAAAACCACACCGCCTAAGTCAAGTTTGATTGGATTATAGGCCGATATGCCTGTGCCACCAGGATAACCCTATTTAAAGCAAAAAAGAAGAATTTATTTTCAAAAAATTATTTGTTTTTATTAACTTACACTCACTGTACCATAACCAGTTGTATAGCCCAAACGTTGTAGGCGATCTTTAGTGGACGCGTTCTCATCATCGTGATATTGTTGAGTTTTATTTTCATTAAAATATGGTAAACGACTCCATTGAGTATTACTATTACCGTTATTGTCCAAGTAAGTCCTAACGTGAACACAAAAAAAAAAGAAGAAAATAATCTTAATTTGCTTTTTACATTAAGAAAATTTGTAGCCTTCGACTAGAGGCCGCATTAGTTGCTTGCTAATGCAGAGTAGAATAAACGAAGTGAACGAATATGTAAGTTGCATTTTGTTAAAAAATCTAAGGCATAGCATAAAATATTTTACTAAAGGTATTGAGTATTGTTAAGCTAATACCCTTTCCTTGTAGCCAGCAATATGAACTTGTTGGCAAAAAAACAATCGGCCTTCCAAAGCTATTCAGCAAAGGACATTTTCTTTGGCTACAGTAAGAATGGTAGCGCTCTTTAGCGCATATCATAAGTAAGCAAATGAAACAAGCGTCGAAAAGTAGGAGCAAGGCCTGGTGAAAATAAGTCCCTGTTGCCGTTTCCTGGACAGCCTTTACTATTCGCCCTAGAGCTTTGCCAATTTGAAAAAATCCCCGCTAAGGTCATGCCATATGGCATATTGCGAGTCGTTTTCGCTTATTTTCATCATTTCTTCGTAACGCTTCGTAAGGTTCGAGTATTTCTTATTATCCTACAGTCAGCTTATTTAAACAAATAACGGGTTTTTGTTTCAATGTAAGTGACACGCTCGGTTCGACAAGAATTAGAGGAGTTTGAAACTGAATCTGGAAAATTTTATGGGTTCTCAAGCTTAGCTATGGTCTGGCCGAACTCAATCGGAGGGCCTGTTGAGCATTCGTTCTGAATGTAAGCAGAAGTTAGAAATTACACCATAGTTTTCTGAATAGTTTGAAACCAAAGTGTGGAGCGATGGCTACGTTCAGAGACTGCAGTCCTCAAAGTTCATCTCCCAGCTAATAGTGCTTAAAATAATACGACTACTTCGAATTCGTTGACAAATAAGAAGGGTATGGCCGCGTAATTTTTGCGAACTGCATATCAAATAATCCATTGTCAGTGCTTGTTTATTAACGAAAAATTCAAAGAGAAGTGATCCTTTTGGAATAATTTTACGGTGTCCTCTTCGTTATAGGCTGAGGCTATTGAGTTGAGATTAGGTGGCACATTGATCTTCCAGCCAAAGCTATCTTACTTTACACGCATTCTGGTTTAAATCCTCTTTCCTAGAGGAGCAATGATTTTTGGCGGGTCGGTCAGCTGTTGCACAGCGGAGAGAGGCTGTATGCATCCGCACTCTTCATTCTTTCCGTTGCTACGCGATTACCTGGATTCGAATTGTTTATTAAGCTTTCAATTATAAGATACGCATATGAAACATTTCATGACATAACCTGAAAAGTATTATTATTATTATTATTGTTATCATAATCGATTTGATCAGAGAAATAAATTCAAAAACAAAAGTTTTAAAGCAGTTGTGAGGCTATCGGGTTCATTGAACACTCTATCGCACGTCAGGTATGAATCCACGACCATTGACTTGTTAACCGAGATCCTCACTTTACTCGGCCACTCAGACGAATCTCTTAAAGGTAAGAAATGAAAATTAGATGATTCTATGAAATAATTTTTTTCAAGAATTGCTTTCATATAAGTTGAGACTTGAAATACTAATTAAAAGACTTGGACGATTTTGTCAAAATTAAAGTAATGGTTTCGTTTAGTAAAAGTCGATCCTTTTTTTAGTTCTCCATTTTGCTACTTTCTTAAGGCTGCAACGGTTCGTGTTTGTGTTGAAGAGCAGTCAGTGTAATATAAGCGCACATATGTTCGATCGATCGTCTTTAGAAAATTCTGAAGTAATTCATTGACTTGAAAAGAACACTCGACTCACTTTGAGTTCGTCTCGTATTTTGGTATAGCAAAAACATTTTTAAAACCAAAATTCCCGACGCACAATAAGAAAGTCGTTTGAATAAAAATTTTGCAAAACATTAACATTTTAATCCTGCAAGTCTTATAGTTATTACTGTTATAGCATAAAATCTTTTGACTGACGCTAATATAACGATTTTTTTAACTGAACATTAATTTAGATTTGCAAATACCTTATATATGTACAAATATATACGCATATATCTTATACCACAAATAATTTCATACGCGGTGACATAGGCAAGGCCTTGTTTGATTTACTGTAATAATAACTTCAAATTTCCAAAAAAAGCAAAACCAAAACAAAAAAAAAAAAATGAAAAGAAAACGAAGGCGAAGACGAAAAACTCTCAACAAAGAAATATATTTATTATAATTTAATGAACATTCACTCAAACCTAATTTCATATGTTTTAATGGTCGTAACAATAGATATGTGCATATAAGCGTATTATGTGTAACTAAATCACAGTAATCATCATATTTACTACCGCTTTACAGATCTATGCACATAGTAGAGAACTTACTGTAGCGTTGCATTGTGCATTTAAATGTTTTGTCTTTGGCATGCGGTGAAGAAGCCAATGGATGCGACAACGTTTGCACAAATTATGTGCTGTTGAGCTTTATTAGTGTTACCTAACATCCCGAGTTTCGTATATGAATTTCAGTTGGAAAGTGTTAGTTGCATAGAGAGAATTAAAACTACACATGACTTAGAAATGGTTATGGCTGCGTAACGTTCAACGTCAATCAGACAAGTTAGCGAAGTGGATAATTTGGCATATGTATGTATGTATGTACAAAGGCATTGTGCATATGTATGTGCACCTTCGTTACGTTATTAAATTGTAATATATTTTTTTTTCAATTTTATGTTTTTTTTTATTATCAAATAAATTTACCTTATTTCACTTTTATGAAATACTTGAAGAAGTACTACGTTTTGAGCGACTAAACGGTTGACATACCTTCCGTTTTTTATGCGCGAATTTTCGCGTTCTGTTAGCTTGAAAAGTGGAAATTAAATGCTTGTAAATAAAAATGTTACAAATCTAGAGTAAAGTTACGAAAATTGATGAGAAATCAAAGAGATACGTTTATGAATCGAATCGACAGAGGAATCTTTAAACTTGTGCCATACGTTGTTTAAGAGCACGTTTCACGTTGATTGCCTCAAACAAGTCATCATACTTATGTAGGGTATATTTGTTAGGCATAGTAGAGCATCGGAGATGCTGTGAACTATGGAGTTTAAGTCCGCTTGCTCTTCCCACCTTCGTCGGCAATAAGTTCCCTATATGTAAGCCGAGAAAATCTCTTGTAAGGTATGCTTGGTTTTGGCTTGTGGTACTTTAATGCAAATCTAAGGACTGGAAAAGTAGTAGTAGCTAGGATGGGGAACATAGGCTCATGGAATGGCGTCGACATCGTCTCCTTGCTTATTGGAAAATCTATCTGCAATCGGGTATTCCTGACCGCCAAGGCATTTCACACTAACTCCAATTTATAGCGATTTGTCTGACGGCTGTGCGCTAAGTTGACCAGAAATTTATGTTTGTCAAAGTGATACTTGCGAAAATTTTGAAAGTTTTTTTTCTTTGTTTAAGTTTTTTCTTGTGGAGGCTAACTATTGCGAGTGCGGGGATACCGCTGTTGTTTCCTGTCATTCTCTTCCTGTTTCCTTTTCTGTATAGAAACAATCGCAGCGATGAACAAACAGTACGTATGGCCTTCTTAGAGTGTAATTACTTTCAATTTAGGTCCATATAGCCGCGTCTGTCCGTCGAAATCTCGCTTTACTCTCCCAATTTTATTTCATTTTATAGTCATGGAACACAATAGCTTTGTCTTCGTCAATAATCGACCGACTAAGATTCTTAAATCTCATATTATAATTTTTTTTTTTTTTTGAGATGGTAAAAGATTGAAAGCCGTCCATTTTGGGCAGAGCGAGACTTTAATTTGCTAAAAACTACCTATAGTCCTACTCCTGATCTGTGGCACGGCTATTAATTATACCTTCAAAGGGAGCCTTTATCGAGGAGTGTAAGGGTAGACAGTATCCAATTCGACCCTCCTTTTTTCTTCGTTTTTTCAATATATTTGCCGCAAATACACCTAAGGCTTTCCATTTTTTCAGATCGTGCGGCATATTCGTCACGAGATTGTCGGAGAGAGGAAACTATGCAATTTACCTCCGTAACCTTTATCGTTCGTTTTGGTATTGCGGACAGACAAAGAATACGTGTTCAGCTTCTTCGAAGGCATTTGGAAAGACTATTTGCAAAGACTCCTACTCTATCTTAAACCTATGTAAGTAAGTTGCAAGATAACCGTAACCACTTAATAACTATGTAAGAAAAAAGTCAAGCCCGCCATCATGCTGTTTCTTAAATCGTGAACGCAGATCTGAAATGAGTCGATGCATCCAACTACCTCGGTTCGATCTGCTCCAGCATTCTTGCCATTCTTCTGCAAAGAGACATTTTGCTCGCCGCTCAGCCATGTTAACCGACAAGGTTTTTTAGTTCAGTTTTATAAATATATTCTTTGTCTCGCTGGTTGATTGGTATCATAATGGCGATAAATACGGCCACATTTTCCGACATGTGGCGCGAACACTTAGCGCGCGGGCCGATGTGCTATCCGGATGCCTCTTGTATACGATGATGCCATGGAAGAGCCTTACCGCTTCTGTCATAAAGTTTCTGCCTTGTCTAGAGCCTCTTATGTTAGGTAGTAGACGCGCCAGCGACTTCGTTACCGTCACTGGTTTCTGACAAATATCGCCGGCTTCGATTGTACCCTTCTATCGCTTCTGTCTTGTCCTCTGCAAGTTTTAAATCAGCTGTTGTTCCGCTTGCTACAGCGGTAATTTGTTCTAAAGTCTTATCTACGATTGTTGTTGCTCCATCGTCGACCAAACTTACGACAATCGTCGTAAGCCACATTCCATAAAGTGGATCCTACGACTAACTTCTGAGCTAAGACCTCCAATAAGCGTTCTTTATTTGTTTTCTCGGCTTGTCTAGAATTGTTTGCACCGCCGTTTTATAATACAAAGATTTCAAAGCAAAGTCAGCAAGAAAACCCTGATAGGATAATCTTACACATTCAAGTGCGATATACCTAAACCGTTGCGCATCACTTTTGAATTGTGTACAATATCGCA